TTAGGCTAGGTGATAAATAATAGAAGAAAACTACTTCAAAACAGTATTACAAGTAGTTTGCAAGGTAGATAGTTCAAATAATCCAGAACTAACCAGAATCCATTATTTCAATTTAGGGTCAACAGGTTTGATGTGCTTTCTATATTTTGCCATGCTATACTTTGGAATTGTACACAGTTATATTTCATTCTTAAAGCATTCCTTCATTTGTTTTTCCCAAGCATGCATTAAATGTTTTCCATATTTGTCTATGCTGGTACTGTAGAGGATTTCAAATGATTGAGACCTGAACTCTACCCTGTATGAACTCACATCTTGCTGTGTTTATAGACTTGTGAACCATCATCATCATTTAGTTTGAATATTTCTGTTACCCCCAAACAAAAGCTCATATCCACAAGCAGTCCCTTTCCATTTCTAGCCTCTTTTTCTTTCAGTAGATATGCCCGTTTTGGACATTCTTCAGTGATGGAATCACATACTGACTTCTTTGTGAGCATGTTCTTATGATTCATCTGTGTGGTAGCATGTATCAGTATTCCATTCACTTTCATTGCTGAATAAGACTCCATCTTGCACTTATGCCACATTTTGTTTACCTGTCTATATATATACCAGTTGATGGACATTTGGATTGTGTCCTCCTTTTGGCTATTATCTGTAATGCTACTATGTTCATGTGCATGTTTTTATGTGGGCACTTGTTTTCAGTCATCTTCTCTATATACCTAGGGATGGACTTGCTAGATCATAGAAGATTTCTGAATTTAACATTTTGAGGAACCACTAAATTACTTTCCAGATGGATTCACCATTTAATATTCCCACCATGCATGAGGTCCCCGTTTCTCCACATGCTCCCCACTACTTATTATTGTCTGGAAATAGAATTGTTTGCAATGGAAATATAAAGTAATTAAAATAGAAAAATTCCAACTAGATTATGTTATACTCATTAAAGACAGCCCATATTTAAGTCATGTGATATTAGAATATAAAACTGAATGCCACTTTGTAGCTTTATATACAAAACAACTCACTGGAGTCTAATTACCTTATCATTAATGTTCACCAGGTGGTTGGGAAATGCAGGCTTTCTTTTATGTCTAATTGAGAGGCAGAGGGCAGCGAAATGATTATGTGTGTAATGCTGTTGAAAGATAAATGCGTTTTTGACATGCAATTAAATATAATTGGAATAGGACAAATTGAACAACAAAATTAAATTTGCAAAACTGAGTATGCACAGATATTAGATGGGTGCTGTCTTCTAGGATACTGGGTGGTGAGCTGACACTAGGCCCAGAGCCCCAGCCTTCCTGTTGACTTACTGTGGTTTGCACCTGCCCAGCTCGTCTCTCGTGCTCCCCTAGGTGGCATGTCCAGAGTTCAGGAGACACTCCCCAGCAAGCGGCTGTTCAGAGAGAATTGTTTCGTGAGGTGCTGGAGTTTAATGTGGTTAGGAAGGAAAACAGTCCTGTGAGGCTTTCTCAGAGTCAGACTGGGTTTTATGAATCTAGGAGACCTAGCAATGATATTATAAAAACAAAACTGTAATTCCAAAGGTCACTCCCAACCTAAAGGGCCAGCTCTTCCATGGCTTCCCCATTGCCCATTAGGGGCCAAGGGTCAGATTGCAGAGGCCAAACCATGGTCTTTCTGACCTGAACTCTGCCTGTGTCTCGAGCCTCTGCTGCTGGCACCTACAGGTGCTAAATCCCTAAGTGTGCACATTGGGATTTCCCCTCCTTTCCTGCGAGTGTTGTCTTGTTTCCTCTGGTGGGAGAACCCTCCTGTCTCTGTAAGACTCAGTTTAGGCTGTGCCTCTACCAGGAAGCACTTCAGAGTCCCCCATAGGCTTTGCTGGTCCAGATATAGCATGGAACTGGATGCTTTGTTTACTGCAATGAAAAGACCAGAAAAAGTCCCTGGAGCTTGGATCTGAGAAAAACAGAGAATAAACAATCAACACAACTGGATATCTACCTTGCTGAGTGCAGGTGATAAGTCTGGGAAATACAAACATAGTTAAGCAGAACAATGTGAATGGGGAATGTAAGAAGGATGGGGAAATGCTACATTGAACGGAGTGAGAGGGTGGGGCTCATCCAGAGGCCTTAATGGGGTGCAGGGAGTCTGGGTTGGAAATATCTGGGGAGAGAAGGGAATTGCTGCCTGGCAAGAGCATCTGTATTAAACTGATAGAATTCCAGCGTAAGCGGAATTGACAGTTTAGTTTTCCAAGTATCCTTTCTGTAGACAAATGTACATTTCCATTAGGATTTTTGAAATTCTAAAAACAATCCCAGGACAAATCCCCCCCACATCCCCGTCCAATGAATACTTTGTGGACTATTAGTAACCTGGAACTTTCAGTCAGGAGTACAGTTGTACCACTGAGCTTCTGTGGACCACAGTAGCTGCTGGACTCGCCCTGTGAAATACATGCTCCCTGAGTATTTCCTACTTCTAGAGGACCAACCTGGTGTCTGCTCTTCCTTCTGCAGTTCACATTCCTTTATGTTTCATCTAGTCTCAATTTTCAGTTTCCTTCCACATCATTACCTGTGAGTGTTTTCTGGTTTGTCTTTTGTGCTAAGTCTCTAAGTGCTGTTTGTGGGTCTGTCATCCCGTTCCCTACCTACCCCGCCCCCGGTTGGCTAAGCCCCAGTGAAGAGGTGTTGTTGTAGTGCTACTGCCTTCTCTTTAGCAGCTTGCATCTGAGTTGGCGAATTCCTGGTACTTCCCTTCCCAGAGACGAACTCCAGCCCACCCTGCATGTCGTTTTAGGGGTCTTTATTGCTCCACATGAACTGGTTTACCCTTGTCCATTAAAATAAGAAAATAACTTTGCTGTAATATCCTCTGTTTTCACAACTACTTTTTTAAAGCAACCTGATTTTTTCAATATCATAATTTTATATTTCCACATGGTTTTAGAAATGAATAGTAGGAGTGTTTTGATTCCTCTAGAGCCTCTTCCGCTAACAATACCATGATCTTAGTTAAACTAAGTTAATTGGCTCCAGACCTCTAAATGTGTGTGTATATTTCTGGGTTTAAAATGTCATTCTTCCAGTTATCTTATGTCTCTTCAGTTTCCATATATCAGGAATTTTATTTTTAGTTTTATTTTTGCATTGCTGGAGGATCAAATCCAAGGCATCATGTATGCTAGGCAAGTGCCTTACCACTAAGACCTGAACCCAGCCCTAAATATCAGGGTCTTTAAATTTCAGAAGATAATGTGTTTTGTTTCTTGGAGTGTCACACCCTAGAACTTCACAAGCTGTAGTTCTGCTTTTGGTACCGGGGAATCCCTGGCCCTCAAGCTGTAGCTCTTAAATAGGAGAGAGCAGAGTCTTGGTTCCTTTTCTCTCCCATGGTAGTCATTTAATGCTCATTGATATGATTAATTGATGTAGAGATTTTGTCGACTTGTGCTTGCTTCTAAGTCATCCTTTGGTTTTACAGATGCTAGAAAGGACAGAATCACCGTGTCCACAGACTTCAGAGAAAGTTTTATTTCATTCTGTATATATCCTGTACTTATCACTGGATTGTGAATGATTTTGTTTTTTATTCTCTTGAATTTTTTTCATCAAGGCAGTAATTGTACATAGTTAAAAAGTCAAATACGGTAATATTTACAATGCTTGTCACATAAAATAGCATTCTATTGGTCTTCTCTCACTACTCCTTGCTAGCATTTCTCATGCCACTCTACCTGTCTCTTTCAACTTCACACTAGTGATTGTTTGGAGGTTAGCTCCATATCGTTATGTAAGATGATTATTCTGATATTTCTGTATTCTTTTATTGATTCTGGAAGATGAGGATTTAGCTTTCCAATAGCCTGTCATCCTAACATAGTTAAGTCAAATGCTATTAAAAAGTTAATCATGGGCTGGGGCTGTAGCTCAGTGGCCCTGCACCTGCCTTGCAAGCATAAGGTCCTGAGTTCAATCCCCGGTACAGGAAAAAAGAAAAGAAAAGAACAGTTAGGTTCAGAGAAAAAGATTACACTGAATCTAAAATAATAGAGTGCAGTATTTTAGAAAATTACAAATTGGTTTGTCTAGTGAATTTCCAAGGAAATATATTAAAAACAAAACATTAGAACCCGAGGTGTGAATATGTATGATTTTAAGAGAATAACTATCAAAATTTTGATTTAGCTATCATGTTAAAATAGGGCATGAAAAATCTTCATTTACTCAGATCTTGCAGTAGTTCCTGAATATGTTGTGTTATTTTCAAGTTCTAGCCAATCAGTGTCTTAATCACCAAATGTTTTATAGGAGCAGAGGTGAAAGTTTAGCCCTACTTAAGTGAATAAATATACTGAGACAAGCTGTTCTGAGAACCATAGATTTGCATTAAAAAACTCACAAGGGAAAAATAGTAATTGCCTCAGCAGGAGAGATGGAACATATTTTAAGATAATTGGAGACTGCCTTTTATGTGTTCTCTTTGGTTTAGTTTTGATTTCATGTACTTTAATTTGTTTCTCAATTTTTTTCTTAATGTATTCTAAAGAGTGTAAAACACTTCTGAGGATCTCATTTCTACTTGTGAAATTGCCTTCTTCAGTACCATTGGATGTAATTTTTTTGTCAGTCTTACAAGAAGAAAGTACCTCAGAATGTTTCAGCATTCTGACAGTAGTGGGAACTCTAAATGTACATTTTGTTTAAGTTCAAATGTACTGTAGCAATTTCCTTAGGTGGTGCATATTTTAAAATTTCCTTCCTTTCTTTTTTTCTTTTTCTTTCTTTCTTTCTTTCATGTTTGATTTCTACAGGAACCATTTTTTCTTTTATTCATATTTTTCATCATTTTTATCTGAATAACCTACATTTTCACTTACAATTTAGCTTAAGTGATGGTTATTAATCATTCCTTTGACAGGTATGGTCAGAGGTGGTCTAACTGAAGATGTTCCTTTATTTACTGATCACATGAGGCTAAATATTCAACTTTTGCTTCTTTTTGCAAAGGCACTGAGACGTGAGTTAAAGGAGAAAGAATATTCAGTCTTGAATGCTGTAGACCAAGCTCGAGTTTTCCTGGCTGATCAGCCAATTGAGGCCCCTGAAGAACCACAAAGAAACCTGCAATCAAAAACAGGTGAGACTGGTTTCTCTGCTACATCATAAAAAACACATGTTAGGAGAACAAAAACCCAAGTAGGAAATCTCCTTACACCATTCATAATCTAATTCTTAAGACTTTTCTTCTAAATATTTCATCAAGTATGTCATTATTCAGTAACTATCTAGATTCTTAAAATAAGGAAATAAAATTGTGGGATACTTCAATGTCATTATTTAAAAAGGAAATTAACTACAGAAAAAAGAATTTATGTAAAAAGCATACTGAAACTACAATAACTTTTTTAAGAAATAAAAATGTATATTTCCCTGTTATATAAAAATGTGTATATAGTTGTAAATTAAGACAAGTTAGTAAACAGTTACAAGTAAAATAAATTATTAATATGCAAGAGTAAATATTTCAATATTTTAATATTTATAGAGTAAGATTTTTTTAAACTTCTTTTTTCAAAGACAGTCGAACACTCTTTACAAGTAGATAAGAGCATTTCACTTAAAAATAACCTATTATACTTAGGTATTTTTGCTTAAAATCGACACAGGAGCCACTGTACTAGCAAGTGTCAATCCGTCATATAGTAAATTCAGGAGAAAAGTTGTAATAAATTTTGGAGCCCATATATATCTGTGTTATGATTCTTTTCACTGCAGACAATAAAAGCATTGTGAAGTATTTGAAGAAATAAGCATGTGATTCAAAATCCTTTTCCATCCTTCATGTCACACAGCAGAAGCCCCCCGGAGGAGTGCCCTGTCCTGTGGTCAGCTGCCCAGATCACATGGGGCTGCCTCTTGCAAGGACAGCAGAGCTGGAAAGCTCTGCATGCCTGGGCTGGCACCACCCAGATGTTAGCAGGGCAGCCTTTGTGCTGTGCAGCTTCCTCGTGGAAGGGATTTTCAGCCCAATGCATTTCCCATCAAGTCCCTGGTGTGCTGGAACCTTTGAACCTAGTTTTCTATGTGTGTACATGTGTAGCATGCGTGTACACACACATGCAGGCACACAGAACACTTGGGTCTTCTTTAACATCACTTTTTATTTCCTGCCAATGGTATCACTGTGCTTCCAGGGATCCTGCTGGGAGTTTAAGTCATTGTCAAGTCTCCCATTTTCATCAAACCTCATGGCCTACAATTCACTCAGAATTGTTATTTATGTCTTTGAAGAATTATTCTTTCTCAGTGCAGTTGGCCCTGCATTTCTTTGGGTTCGGTATGTATCGATTCCAGTGACTATGAACTGAGATGATTTGGAAAAACAAAACTTCATCTGTGCTGAACATGTACAAACTTTTTTTCTTGTCATTATTCCTGATGCAATACAGTGCAACAACTATTTGCATAGGATTTACATTGAATTATGTATTATAAGTAATCTAGAGATGATTTAAAGTATATATGAGGGTATAGGCAGGTTATATGCAAATAGAAAGCCATTTATACAAGGGACTTGAGCATCTACCATTTTGGGGGTCTGTGGGGTGTCGTAGAACCAATACCCTGCTCTCTGTTATATGTGTATTATTTAGGCCTGTATTATGCATAAACACGCGTTCAACATACATACATATATGTACCACACTGTACTGTTATTTCCAGACTCTCAGCCTTTTGTCTAGAGTTTTGGAATAATTTTAGCCAGAATGAGTTGCTGGTTTTTGTAACACTTGTCATGTTGCAGGTTTCTGTTTCCTGTATGTCCCCAGGGCTTTTTCCAAATGTCATGTCTTTAGTTAGGTCTTCTCCAGCATCTTTGAATAACAATGTTTGTTATTCAAAGTATCCCAGATTTCACCTATTTATCATACCATTATTTCTCACCTTCGCATCCCAGTCTGAGGAATGCAAGCTCAGTGTAGAACAAGATTTGTTTTTTCCCTGCTGTAGTTTGTAATATCTAGAATACTGTCTGACACACAGTAGGGCTTACTTATTGAATGGATGGATGTGTCATCTGAGCATTAGCAGGAATGGATAAAGTAGTGTAAGACACATTTGTGATAGGTTCAATTTATTTGGAAATCAAAACTAGCAGAAAGGGGTGAGAAAGCAAACAGAAACCTGCAGGTGCTTGACTGTGCATCCCAAGAGAGGAGGACTTTGAAGGTCAGAGTAGAGAGGGTGAATGCTGAGCAAGTCACAGGAGCATGGGCGGGCCCTGTCCCCAGCATGGCCATCCTTCCTGGAAGGGTTCTCAGCAGAGAGCTCAGCAAGGGGTGTGGTCAGCTCTGTGTAAGAGATGAACAGCCCAGCCTGGTTGTCGAAGGCCTTTACCTGGATAGAAACTGGGGACAGGAGCGTGTGTGCATGTGTGGTATAGGTCAGATGGCAGAGAACAAAGTCAGACCGAACATTTCTACTTCATACCACAAGGAAGAAGATACTAGTAGAGTTCTGTTTGTTTTTTCTTTTTAACTTGGGTGAAAAATTACCTTACTCAATTTAAAGTCTTTTTCCATCTGTTTTTCTTGTCTCCTTGCTTCCCCAGGACTGCAGAGAAAGTCAGTAGTACAAAAGGTTGTTAGCTCACCGAAGCTTCCTTTTGCTGTAGATTCTTCTTAGTGGTCAGTCATTGAAAAGTTGAAAAGATAATCATCGGGCTGGGGATTTAGCTCAGTGGTTTTGCCACAAGGTCCTGAATTCAATGCCCAGTTCTAAAAAAAAAAATAATCATCATCATCTTTTGAGGTCTTAATTTGCTATGACATTCAGGATGTTTCTAATCATCCGTTTTTAATACCACATCTAGGAGACAAGAAAAAAAGTTATTCTTTTGTTTTGTTTTATACTTAGCAATTTTCATACTCTCTCCTTTTTTGATATTATTTTCTGTAATGCTGGCTGATTTTTACCTCCTGTTAAAAGTAAATGGAAGAAAATTACCCATAATAGCTTTCACACTTTTTTTGTTTACCATGACTTATGTACAGCTGCTTTCAAAAATAGAGAACATTTGAACATTAGTTATCCTGTGTGACACTAAAGTACTCAGTGTTGGAGGCTTTAGTGTGGGAAGAAATCTTACTATGGTTTTGTTCAGTTTTATTTAATGAGCACTTTTTGAATATGTTATGTGCACCATGCCCTGGGGTACCAAGAAGCATCCATCTCCCTGCTTTTAATTCCAGAGAACACTTTTCTCCATAATTTTTCTCTTTTAATGCTTGTTCTCTTCCTAGCCCCCCCCATTTTTTCTGTTATCATTTTTTACAGTTTTATTTTTTAATATTTAAAAACCAATACTAATATTACCACCCTCTATTAGGCCCTTTTCATCTTTTGCCAGACACCTTTCATTACTTTCCTAATTGGTCTCTCTGAATGAATGTAGACACTGGAAAGAAATAGCTGAAGCATGGCATGGGCTTTAAGGCCTCCAGCAGCCCCTGGCCATGGGATCAGGCTCCCTTCCCTGGCATGAGTGCTGTCTGCCAGTGATGTAGCTTCAGCTTCTCTGCGCGGCCTCATGGCATGCCTCTCTGCTCTCCATATTTGATATCTCCACCAAACTTTTCCTGCTGTTCTTCCGGAATTCTCTGCCTTGCCTTTATCCTATTGCTCATCCTAGCTTTTCTGCCTGTAGGTTCTTCTTACCTTGTCTCCAGCTCTCCCTTCCCAACTCAGCTCAGGCTTTGTGTCTCTCTGGGTGTGTTCCCTTTCTGAGCCCTTTCCCATGATTTCCTGGAACGCATTGTCATGTCTATCCCTGGGTTTCCAGTATCTGTTCCAGAAGCTCAGCCCTTCCCAGTTCCTTAGTGACCATTTCTATTTATTGAGAATCTGAGAGTGAAAAATGATCGGAGCAGCCAAGATAGACCTGATCTGGAGAATACAGTGCAGATTTGCCCCTGCTCACAGGCAGACACTCAGGGCTCACCAAGCTGTATGAAGTCACTCTTCAGACAGGGCCATAACTTGCTAGAGCCAATGTCCAGTGAACTAGGGGTAATTAGCAAAATGGGAAATGCAAAGGTGGGCAGGGAGAAATGACCCTGACAGTCTGACAGGAATGAGAGCAAAGGCTATTATAGAGTGGATATGTGAGCAAATCAGAGAAGTCTTTGGGGCTTTTTACAATAAAAGAAAAACTGAAACTCAGAATTATGGTTTGCTTATTTTTCAAAGATAGATCATAAATCATTTAAGAGAAGGTATAGATATTTATATGGTGTAGGGAACAGGGAAAGGGGACGTTACTAGAACCTCTGCAGTAAGTCCTAGTCTCCTGCGAGCCACGGCAGCACAAGGCGAATTGCAGGAAAGGTAGAAAAATGAGACTGAGAAGAAGCTAAGCTTTGGGTCTGATCAGTGCTGCTCTGGGTGGCAAAGACGAAAGCCCTTAGCTTACCACACTTTTTATTCAGTACATCAGGAAAAACAAATGTAACAAATGACTTGCAGAGAGTTCAGTACATCCGCCTAAATAAGATGGTAACAGTCCAAGAACAATGAGGAACTAAGTAGATGTTTGTTCCTCCCAGGATGTTTCTTGTCCTGGAGAATCACAGCATCACTGGATCATTGAGGTCTCAGTTGTGACCGGAGGCCAAAATGGAATTATGTCATGGAATTCCATAGCTGGGCTGTAGGCAAGAGAACTAAGCTAACCAAATGATTTTTCCCTAAAATTATGTAGCATTGCTCCTGACAATATGGTATTTTAATGAATTTCCTTCCAAAATTATAACCATAAGAAAACAGTACTAAATGAGTGACATGTATCTGTCTGGAAAAATTGAGCTATCAGAATAAATCATTCTGTTGTTAAAAGATTATTAAGTAAATATGATTTTTAACTGAACTAAAATTACTTGAATAATTATAGAAACTTTACAAAGTTTACAACTTTGTCAATAGTCCCTTTATCTTGTTTAACAATATGGAAATAATTTCATTTGATCGATATTATGTCAATAAGTAATTTCCCCTTGTAATGCAGTTGAGTTGTTTTTATTTGATTATTAGTGCTCGGTCTGCTTAAGAAAAAGTAGAACAGTGGAACAACAAAATTGT